GCCCACTCAACTCGTTGTTTGCATTTTCACATTTATTTTAATATTTCATTATAGAAATCATAATTTTCATTCATTTTCATTCAATTTCTTAATAAAATTTGTGAAATAATTAATAAACCCTTCTATTTAAAAAAAATAAAAAGAAAAAATAATGAATTAATTGTAACTATAATCTCAAATTTAAAAAAAAAAAAAAATACAAATGAGTCACAAATAAATTATTAAAAAAATAGAAATAGAAAAAAAAATAAAAAAATCTACTACTTCCCTCCACCACTGCGAAACCAAAATTTTTCCCCCTCCAATCCCATTTCTTGGCCACCAGTGCTGGAAACCCTTCTCATTTCACCAGATAAAAAAGTACGCTCTGTTGAATTCAAGATTTGTTGCTGCAAATTTGAACATTCCAAAACACCATCAAATCCAGGCTGAAACAAATTCTTTTCTTTTCCATCAAATGAATTGCTGCTAAAACTCCTCTGCATGAACTTCAATCTCAGTACCCCCATCATGACTTTGAGGCATATATGAATCATTAATACCCGAATAACTCTTAAAATGGACTGGAAAATCTTCTAATTTCACCTCTGAAAAACGGTATTTTTGCATTTTCTAAATAGGATATTGAACAGCTTTCTATTGAGAAATCGTATGAAAATGATGATTTCCACAATGAAATAACGAAATAGGAGTAAAAATGCAAGGAAAAAAAAAAAAAGGCAATGTAGAAACGTTTTGCACAACGAACTACATACGTATGGTCGTTTTGTACTAATAGCCCATACAAGATATTTACTTCTGTATACACGTAAATATAAGGATATATCATATGTTTTATTAATTAAATGGTGGTTATATTACCACAATAATTTTTATTTGATAATCACATTTTAATTATAGTTAAACTTCTCAAATTTTTGTTCATTGTAGCAATTATTTCCTTAATTTTTTTTATTTTTTTTTGTCGAGTTCTTATTTTCAACATTCCATTAATTAGGACGTCTCGTCCTTGTATCAAAATATTTTATTTTCATGTTTTGAAATGAGGGAAAAATATTTTTCATGCTCTTTTTTTATTTATTTTTAATAATATGATGAAAATTAATTTATTTTTACATCATTACCACGTACTTTTGGATATAAAATTGTTATCAAATGCAAAATGTATTAATTAATGGAATGTACACGAAAAATCATTGGGAACATAAGTGCTATAATGAGCAAAGATCAATAATCTTAAATACAATTAAAATGTGGTGCAAAAAATAAAAATTGTGGTGTGAATATAATTAGCCTTAATTAGATTGTATATTAATAATAACAACGACAACTTTGTCACTGTTTGACAATCGTACTTGTCAAATTTTTTTACAAACTCATTTTCAACGGTATATCCACACAATAAAATATTTTACACGTAAACCAATTTTATTTTATTTTTTACTTTTCAACCATATATTTTTCTAAAAATCACTATTCAAAACTCTTTTTTCGAAAAGTATAATTGTTAGATAGGGGCTTACTTTATTTTTAAGAGTATTAGAACTAAACTCTCAAAAAAAATGACATTTACGTTATAATGAAAGTCATTTGTATATGCCTTCTATTAAGACAACAATTTTCAGTCATTTTGTCACTTTTATCATTATCTTGTTCTCATTTGTCTTCATAATAGATGAAAACATTAATTTGATTTGTATTTGTAATTTGTAAAAAAAAAAAAAACACAAATGAAATGTTATAATTTTTTTTTCTAAAAGAAGTTATGGAGTTTGTCACTTTAAATTCGATCACATTAATTCATATTCAAAAGAGAAATAAAGTGTTACGTACTTACGTCGTCTTACTTATAATCTAAAGCTATATATGAATTCATATTCATATTTTTCACAAACTCACATATATGGATCTCTTTAATTGATCCAAAAGAATTCAAATGAGATAGATTGTGACTTTTTTTTTTTTTTTTAAAGAAAAAACATATTCCCATATGTGTTTTTACATTTTTCACTCATTTTACATGTATCATTTGAATTAATTCAAAGTTGATTTTTCACGTATGCTAACCCAATTAATCTAATCTAAATTTTAAAGCACACCAACTAAAAATTATTCCTCTAAAGATGAATTTTCATATGTACTAGAACCAGAAAAAAGAAAAAAAAAAAAAAAAAAACCCTCAACGACACCCAAATCAAGGTGAAATTTGTATTTGTATTATCCATAGTTAAATAAGGACATTAAATAAATAGTTATCATTAAAAATTAGCCTACAATTGCTTTCTTTTTACTGAATAGTCATGAGATATATAATTTGTTACTCAATTATCAAACAAAATATGAACTAATTGAATCAGAAATCATAAATATATAAAGATTAGTGTTGTATAGCTTCACTAAGGTTATAACCCCAACTTAGGTGGCGCCAATGTGACATTAAATGATAAGTGGAATTAAATTAGTCATTCTAATAGCATCTAACGCTATCTATATTAGGGTTCAATCTCAGTGGGACTAAATATCATTATTTATATACAAAATTGTAGATTTGAGGAAGAAACCTTTAATAAAAGGACGTTGAAGTAGCAGTATGACCTCATCTAGGCTTGATTTGTGTAGAATTTTCTCTAATGATTTCGATTTTGTTTGCTTTGGAGCGTGCAAGATTTTCTATTTCGCCTCTTTTTGCGAGCAACTGTTTACCGTTTCTTATGATTAAAACAATTGAAACTGTAGTTACTATATTTTAGCTCATGCTTATAATGATTTTTCGAAAGCACCCCAAAATCAAGGATACTTACACAAGTACCCTAATATAATTGATATGTTGGTGCTCGTCACCCGATGGCCAAACCATTTGAATTGTGTACATAAAACTAAAAAGCCCACTGGACGAAGCCCATGGCGAAAATTAGGCCGGATAACTATTTCCTATTTTTAATGAAATATACAAGTTTCAAATTGAAACCTGAATTTTACTTCCTAATAACGTTAATGTAATTGAACGATGTATATATAATTTTAATTATTATTGAATTTTGATTAATAATAATCCGAAGAATTATGTTATATCTTTAAAAAAAAAAATGCCATTTTCCATCACCATTGAAACCACCTTTTTTACATCCAAGAAGAATTCATGATATTAGCCAACTCAATTCGTATGTAACTTTATCATTTTCAATACATTTCTTTGATCGAAACATGACAGGGAAAACATTCCCGACATTCAAAGGCATATCATTTTCCAATACTTGATGGTTAAGTAATTCTTAAAAAAGGTCTAAAATGTGATTCACACAAAGATATGTATTGTTTACACTTTACCTTTGAATTATTATTATTATTATTATTATTATTATTATTATTATTATTATTATTATTATTTTATTATTATTATTTTTTTGTAAAAGATAGAATCAAATGTATTTATGATTTAGGAATGATAATTTTCTTGAATGTGAATTTTTTAAAACTTAAATTTCTCCATGATTTGCACCAAATGAACAAGAGACCCATAAAGAAAGTACTCAAAAGAAACCATATAGCCCCCGTTTGGCCTTCATTAATTTTAATTACATTACATTTCATTTTTCTCTCTCATATTTTCAACCACACAATCTACTAAAAAATAATATTACACGTAAAACGAGAACTTTCCTTTTTTTTCAACCATTCATTTTAAAAAAAATACTATTCCACCTATTTTCGTTTTCTCAAAATAGGGACCAAACGGGACATAAAGAAAAAGGAAATGAAACTTGGTTCCCAAGTTTCTGAGTGGCATAAACGTAATATGTTCTAAAATTTTGAAACAAAAGCCGTATCCCGTATTGCGACATTTGTTTTCCTATACATTAGTAAAATAAAAAAATCAACACCCACTATCACATAATATTTACAGGTGTCTTACTATTATTGGCAGTGCCGTCACGCGTGAAGGATAAGAGCGAAGCAACTATTTAATGGGGCCCATTTTCCAATTGGTCCCTATTCTATTGATTAAATAGCAGCTAGTCCTTAACATTTTGTAAATAATAAATTAATGATTTGCCTTTAATTATAAATTACAATTATTCATTAAGTTTCTAACTTTATAAAGACTTATAAATGAATGTGCAAATAGTTTAATTTAAGGGTTGTTTGAGCTCTAATTTTCTAGAAAAATGTATTTTAAAATAGTGCTGTGATAGAGAATGTGTAGTTAAAAAATAAGAAAAATTTTGAATTTGTATGCAATATTATTTTATTGAAACATGTGTGATAGAAATGGTATCAAATCACTATTAAAGAATATATTCTGATGAAAAATGGTGCTTAAATAAGGGCTTAGTAGCAATTTTGCTATATGTACATTTACTTTGACGATTTTATTTACTTTCAATGATGTGACACACAATTTTATCATTGATTTGTCTAACACATGCTTAAATCAATGACCTCGATTTTGACACCTTATGGGATGTCAAACTAGTTGAATGCACAACTAGTTTTTAATTCAAGATTTAATGTTATCGTTAAGTTATGCTAGAGAAATTTGAAATGAGACTTATTTTCACAAGCATCTCACGAAAAATCATTGAAATTTGTGAAAAATATCAGCCCTTGTTTGAGCCCCATTCTTTCCAAAAAAATATATTCTTAAACAATGTTTTGACATCATTTCAACAGCACATTTCTCAATAAAATAATATTACACACAAATCCAAAAAATTTTCTTATTTTTTAACCATACATTTTCCATCAATACACTATTCAAAAATTCATTCTCTCCCCCCCCAAAATGGGGCTCAAACAAGGGCTCATTATTGGAAACCAAATTGTGCCATTTTAGTGTAAGGTTGAAGATCAATTAACTCAACTCCCTTTTATAAAGTTTCGGACTAAGATGATACTCAGACAATAGATTAGGTACAAGTCTTACAATTTCCCCACTAAATGAATCACTTCCCAATCGTGCCATTGGCCATTGCTGACCGTAGCCGCCATTTGCATTCCGTTTATTTCGGCTCTCGCTCTATAAATGCGTATGTATACATACACACGCGGCACTTCTTCATTCTTTAACGCATTTCTTGATCGCTTGAGAAATAAAAGGACTCCAAGCAGCTGTAAGAGAGAAAAAGAAAAATCAGGTATTTATCATTTGTTTGATTTTTCCCTTGCTGTTCCTTGAGATTTTTGGTATTCTGGACAGCCAATTCGTAGTCCACTTTTTTCCACTCTATATACGCACAACCGATCTTTGTAACAGTTACTTTTTGCTAGTGGTATTGGAAAGTGCTAAAAGAGATATGAGTTAATATCACAGTTAATTCTGCAAATTTTTGATAAATAGATTGACCTTTATACTGTCGGATACGGGAAAATCATAATAGTAGATTCCTGATCTACAAAGGGTTTTACTTGTCTGGTTCTTTATATCTTCACATATTTATCTACAAATAGAATAGGTGTATCTTATCCTTTTGCTTGGTTGTTCCTTTTTTAAGTAAAGGGTTCCTCCTGAGAGTTTCGGAGGCTAGAGATTTATGTCGGCTAGGTCTGATTTGGCTGTTGGAGCTCAATTGAAGCTCTGTTCTCGTGTTTCTTCCGCTGTTATCTGCATGAGACAATACTTCTGCGGTGCACTTCAGCACAGTCTTTACCTTTTCTTTCCAACTGTTTCGATGCGTTTGAGGCTTAAAAGGTATCATTTCTCCCTTAAATCTTCTTGGGGTCTTGTGGGTTTTGAAAGTTGATATGAAATGAAAATTGATTGTGCTAATTTTTTTTGTGTTTTGTGTTTGCAGGACTTGTTCAGGGGTGGAGTGTTTTGGAGGATTTCACATAAATCGATTATCAAATTTTTTCTTGTTCATTAGAGGCCCAATTTTCTTGAAGCAATTTACTTGATTTTCTTTGGAAAGATAATTCTGTTGTATTGGTGACTTAAAGCAAGATAAAGATGCTGGGGCGTCGGAGATTAGGTCCGGTGAATCAAGAAACTGTAGGTAAAAAACTAAGTAGCCGAGTAGAACCCACTAGATCCATGAAGAAAGTCACAATCATCTGCAGTGACCCGGATGCTACTGACTCATCAGAAGATGAAAGAGTTGGTGCGAAGAAGGTCAAGCGTATTGTTCATGAAATTTGTTTTCCAATTGCGGACTCTCTTCGCCAGCCTGAAGCCCCTGAAACAGAATCTTCAGTTCAAGATAGCAACAATGCTGCGAAAACCCCCAAGAGGAAAAGGATTTTGGGCATAAATGCGTGCAATTCGAGCTCCATTCCGGGGAAATACAGAGGTGTTCGTCAGCGTAAGTGGGGCAAATGGGCTGCAGAAATTCGTGATCCATATAAAGGGAGAAGGATTTGGTTGGGTACGTATGATACCGCTGAAGAAGCATCGAGAGCATATGAAATGAAAAGACTAGAATTTGAGGCTTTGGCTAAGGCTAATAGCATGGAGCATTCAGAGAAAAGTTCAGATTGTAATGGCAGAAATAATGGCACCATGATTGTTTCCAATCTGGTTAGTAAGCGTAATCAAAATCATGGTGTCATTTGTCTCTCTAATGATTCAAGTGGAACCATGGGGTCACTTGCTTCACAGCCTTCAAAGACGTCTCCATCTTCAGTTTTAGAAATGGATTCTTTGACTTCAGCTTCTTCTTTCAGTTGCAAGCGTGATGATAATCAGAAGGTCCATAATGTTAATGCTTCTGAGCAGAACGAGGCTAATTGGGGATTAACAGACGAAGATTTTTCATCGCTGCTGCAATTTATAGAAGGAATAGACATGGATCGGGAACTTGGATCGCTACCATTGGGGTGTGATTCTTGGATCCCAATTGATGATGACCTTCTCAGTGGCTTTCAAGATCTTCCGATTTGTGGGTTGGAAGATTGCGATCAACCTCCATTGCCTGATTATGACTTCAATCTCGACTGTGGTTGGGTGGATGAATTATCAACCCTCTTGAATGAGTCGCCATTCAATACGCCATTCCCGTAAGTTTGGCATCCAAGTTATAATATGAATGTGAAAGAGTGTTACTTCAAGAACTTGGAAAATAAGTTCTTGAGATGATTTGAGTGAGTATCTATTTGTTTAAGGTGGTTTAAACTCAGGTGTTTGTTGGTTCAGATTGTTTCAGGATCTTATTCATCCCTTTGTTTCTCTATTTTGTTCTAATATGAGAGAATTTTTATCTGTTATGTCTTGGACATGATTGAATTTCTATGAATTGAAAGGAGAATATTTTTATGCTTGTTTGGAAGTTGTTGACCGTGTAATTTGAAACCAGCTTGTAGAGTGTGGATTATTGTGTTCTACAGACTTAGCTCGATTAGTCCCATGGGTTGTGCGTGCAGGCTCCGATGCTTAAGTTAGAAGTGTATTTCAGTTGCCCCCCGGGGCACATCCGAGTTGATGGATCAATTGCATTGGTGGGCTCACAAACCAAGCGTGGAGGGTTCGATTCTTTGAAGGCAGCATCTTGGAAGGGGGATTTATCTCGAAGGGAAGGTGCTGAAAGGCAGTGGAGAGAGCCCTCTTTCGGGAAGGAGTAAAAGTCATGCAGGAACTTGGGAGCCAATAAGGGCACAACCCGCGATTAACTTCCTCAAGCTAATGAGGGGCCGGGGGATTGAGGTCCAAGATTTAGTCTAGCGAAACTGAGACACCTGAGTATAAAAAAAAAAAAAAGAAGTGTATTTCAGCTAACACTAGTGTTTGTATATCAAGTAAGAATTCTCTCTTAATAGAAATTCTGTTGATGGCGATGCAATGCAATGATGGTGTTCGTGTCATTGTGCTAATGTTTATTTGTAGAAAAAAGCCATTGGGATAGGCCCAAAAACAGGGATGACCCAACCTCCAATAGGGGCACGCCACATGGCACCACTGTTTCTAGCCCTGTCCTAAAAGCAGGGCTGCTATTTATAACTTTCATGTCTAATTTAGCAAATATGAATGGTTCTAATTGGAAAGTCGGGAGCACCTAAGCTATCACAAGTATTTTCAAAAGGATAATTATATGTGTACATCATGAAGTGTACACAATAGATTACACTCTCGTCACATTGAAGGGGGACTACGAATATTTTATTGTATGTGAACCCCCTCCATTTGAATGGATGTAATTGTGTATACATAGCATTGTCCTTTTCAAAATAGGTAAGTTTGAACTTTATTGATAAAATTTGGTGAATCAACTCTAATAGAAATTCATCCGCAGAAATATGTTAATGATGTGTCGAGTTATAACTCAACTGACCTTATATTCCGACTTGGCGGCTCGTGACGTGGAAATCACTATCTTTGGATTGTGACATTTCAATTATTTAAGTGAAACAACATTTTCATAGATTGTTTAATTGATGTGCACCCTTGGTATCATATAAAGGACACTTATTGGGCTAAAGTTTAAAAGCAAGCAACTTTCCTTTTTGAGGAAATTTTTATTTTTAAATATATTGAATTGGTTATTAGTTATCAGTACAAAAGTAATTTCACAGAAATTAGTAGTAGATAAATATTATAAAATAATAATAATAATTATTAGTTTAGCCAAATATTCATTTTAATGATCTTTTTCCATGTGAGATGACGTGTCCTCCATATATTATGTTCGATACCGATTAAAATCTAAATTTAAATTTAAGTCAAAGTCAACAATTTGTTCAACTACATACTTTAAGGATCTCACAATTTTTTAACCGTACATTTTTTTAATTTCTATCAAAATCTATTAAAAATATTATTTTAATCCCTACCACAAAGTAAATGCACAATCTTTGCTGACTTTCTCTTCATTGGTCTGACTACAACGTGGTGGTTGATTCTGCTAACTTAAGAATTTTTCAATGTTGTCCAAAGACAAAAGAAAATATATTTAAATTTTTTTAGTTTTTTTGGTTGACTAATATCTAACAAATGTGTATCATATGCAGGGGAGGGGACAATATTAATACTGTTTCTTGGATACTATTTTGAAAGAATCTACCTTTGCATTTTGGCGGGCATAAACAAATGTTTTGAGGCTCAAAACTGTACGGAAAATCATTTTGCAATGCAAAGAAATGTAAGTCAAGATGTTTCCATTGTGGATTAGCCAATGGATCAAAATATAACTTTTTATGCTCTCCAATCTAACATATCAAACATACTAATAGAATATTGATGAAAATAATTGAAGATATTATATAACTTAATTGTTGGAATATTTGATTCAGAGTCAGATAACAGAATAGGACATTTAGAAAGATATCAGTAACTTTAAAGAAACCCCTTCTCTTGGAAACTCTTAATGCAGTCGTCAAACATTTGATCCAGTGTTCTCAAAGGAGGAAGCCCCAACTTAATAATCTTGCTACTGTCCATGCTATGTGGGTTGTTATCTCCTTCTTGGCTGCTGCACCTGCCAAAAGTAAAATGAAAATATTTCACATTCAGTAAAAACTGTTACTCCGAGCATGCTTTCGCAGGGATTGCTTACTTGTTTTCATAAGGATAGGATGTATACTTGGCTTTTAGCATCTCAATTATTTCTGACCAGTGTGCCACTGAGCTTGAGCATACGAGCCTTCCTGATGCGTTGTTTTCCTCCATAGCTAAAATATGTGCAGACACAACATCATCTATGTGCACAAACCCTACAGTAGTATTTGGATATTCTCCTTTGCGGCCTACAAATAAGTATAATCAGTGCACAAATCGTCCATATAAAAAAGTAACTTAATTGCAATATATGCTTGTGGATTGAGCTTAATTCACACAAAAACTTTTCATTACAAGAAAGAATCGACCAACATACAGATCAACTTATCTGCCTTTTGGTCTTTGAAATCTCATTCTTAGTGAAAAACTTTTTCAACTGACAACAGTTAGCAATCTATGGCACGACAATAAATGTTTGAACCTGTAATGACAGCCAATATCAGCAGCAGTGTACTGGTTGGTTGAGGTGCTAGCAGTGGACCAACAACAAATGAAGGGTTCACCACCACTAGATCAATTCCACTTTTCTCTGCTACTTTCCAAGCTTCTTGTTCCGCTATAGTTTTTGCATAAGCATACCACAGCTACAAAGCAAGAATTTCTCGATGTTTTAGCAACCAATTTACATGCAATGAATAAATCATCATTCGAAATATAAACAGAGCTAGAAACATGTTACATTGTAGTCTTTACAGTAATTTGGATCACTCCAATGAGATTCATTAAGCGGGGAAACTTGTTGGACATCATATCGGTATCTTATTGAAGAGCAGGAAGAAGTTAATACAACCCTTTTCAGACTGCTTGCTTTCTTGCATGAGTTTAGCACATTCAAGGTTCCCTTTATGCATGGATCAATCAGATTTTCCTGCAAGATATACAAAGGTCACAATTCTCCAAACAAGTTCGGATACACGACTCTCATGATCGCTAAGTAGTATATTTTGTTTTCTCATAGCATGATTACTGCTAAAAGATGTCTGTAATTACAATTCATTTGTCTATCTTTAAACAAAGGTTGGACTGAGATTGATGTATAGTCATTTAAATTCTGCCATTCTTAAACTTAATATTGCACAGAGAAAGCAGCACGCCTATTATATAGTTCTGACATGGAACTCTAGGGGTTATATTGGTCATCTTCAATTGGTCTCGAATTGATTATATTTCATTTATGCAATACTGATTTGTTGTTTACTTCCTTATTAGGGAATTCATGCCAAGTAATTCTTTTCGAATGAATTGATGTTAATAGTTTAGGTAACATTTAGACTAGTTAAGTCTCATTCATATCTTGTTCTATACCATTCAGCATCTTTGAATATCATAACAAGAGACAAATGAAATTTTAACAGGATCCTTCTGCTCTTGAGCTTTAAACGGTTCTATACAAAACAAATGCAATCTTGTTAAACTTCCATTTTCTTGAACAATTTGGAAAGATTGAGTTTTTGAAGTCACTTGCCTGGATATTAGTATCGTAGGGCACAAGCACTGGAGAAGCAGTATGGAATACTCCATCTACTCCCTCTATGGCTTCGTCAAAGCTTCCCTCCAACAGCAAGTCAGCTTTCATAATCTTGAGTCTATCCTTGGCTCCATTCAGCTCCCATAGAAAGCCAACCTTTTCTACATTTTCTGTCATAACAGAAAAATGAGTCGCAGAATTGCAATCCTGATTTACTTATTGAATGGATCATCCATCTAAAAGGTTAAGCTATTAAGTATACAAATTGCAGAACAAATTTGTTTTTTTCATAAAAACCTCATACATGGGATTTTCACAAAGTTGACAAGGCGAGACTCAAACCTAGAATCCTTACCTGTTTCAATACTGTATTGAATAATTACCTCAATTAAAACCTAAATTATTAGACATTATAAAACTTTTACTTAATTATTTTCATATTCTACACAGTTAAATAAATTAGTATAAATTATCAAACCAACTATTCTTAAAAACTGCTAATAGACAAAATTAGCATGTGTATCTATCAATCTACAACAAGAAGATCTCTACTGGAACTTGAATTTAACTGCTGAACTGTCGAAAACATAAATAAATGTATCCTCCCCCTAATAGCTTCTAGACGAGTTGGTTCAATACAAAGTCCATGAAATCAAGAAAGTGAATACATCTGAGGGCTCTTCAAGACAGATTTAAGTAAATAAATAGGCTTAGCTTAAACAAAATTGAAACACTGTTCCATAACCTCGCTTAGCAACTGTTAATTATAGAGCTCATTCCCCTCTAATTCTTATCATTGAAGTGTAAATGAAATTAGACAGCAAAAACGAGATTTTGGATGGTAAAATTGAAAATTTACCTGGATCTCTTACTGTGGTCCTTACTTTGTGACCCCTTTCCAGAAGGGACTTAACCAGATAAGCTGCTATAAACCCTGTACCCCCAGTTACACAGTATTCCGGCATTTTCTCTCTGTCTTCTTCCTCTGAGAATCATTTTTACAAGGCTTTTACACCTATATAAGCATATATCTGTAGATACTGTGTAAATTATTGTTTGAAGAAAGTGAGAAAATTAGGTCATGAGTTATGCCTTTCACCTTTATGTCAAATTCCATTGTAATTTAATATTTTGAAGTTAAAGAGTGTGAGCAGTGTCATGTCCTATGCATTGTAGGTTATTTTAGTGGTAATGCTTTTTAGTGTGAGGGATTCATGTGAGTATGATGGTTTCCCTCTTGAAAATGAGGCCATCTCCGATGGACACCCTTTTGCACCAAAATTTCGTGCAAACGTTCATGCAATTGCACCATTTTTTGTACCAAATGATACAATGTCAATTTTGCCATTCTTCTCATTTTTCAAAGATAATAGTTCAGGGCATTTGTGTCATTTTTGTTCAATAATAATAATTAATTAATTAATTAATTAATTACATTATTAATTATATTGTTAAAGTTTATTATTTTTAAAAATATAATCAATAATAATTAAGGATTTTTAATTTAGTAATTACTTTAGTAAATTTAACGTAATTGTTTATAATAAATTAATAAAATAATCAATTATTTTCGTCAATTTAACATAATATATAAATCATGTGAATAATTTAGTAATCAATAATAATTCAATATATTTTTTAATTTAACGTAGTTATGATTTAGTAATTTATATAGTTATAAAATAAATAAATAAATATTTTAAATAAATACATTGTCAAAAATTGAAAGAATGAATAAAATAATAAAACACTGTTCATTTGATATAATGGTTGGAAATGAATTTTAGTTTGGTGCAAGATTTACTGCAAAATGGTGCAAAATTTGTTGTAGAGTTGGAGATGGTCTGATATACAAGAACACGTTTTAATGCTTTCTATTGTAAGAGAAAAGACAAGAACCCATAGAAGACAAATAAGTTCCTAAAATTAATATTTTTGAAAAATACATTTGACACTTGCTTTTCAAAGCAAGCCCAATCGTAACCAATTTAGCTGAACGCTTCGCCATCTTGGACGAGTTAGAATTGTTAAGGAAAATATTAATCATAACAGCAGCCTCAATCATCTCCAGAAGCTTTAATCATCTCCAGCAAACTCCTTACCTACTTGCAAGAAATTCCAAAATAAGAGCAGCCTAGAATCATGATATGTTCCCACTTGTATAACCTCATTCTTCTCCAGCAGACTCCTTACAATCAGCAGCCTCAATCACCTCCAGAAGCCTCAATCATCTCCAACAAACTCCTTTGCCTGATTGTAAGGAATTCCAAAATAAGATCAACCTAGAATCACGTTCACTGTTGACTGTAAATCTCATAATTAGGGACCTCATTTACTGTTAAACATGTATATATACATATGTGTTGAAACGTAAAATAATCAAGCAGAAAATGTAACTTCTTCAAATATTATCTTTCTCAATATTCTCAATTGCATCCTTCTCTTTCTTGGACCAACTTATAAGTTTTTGAACTACTCCTCTTAATAAAGTTGACCTTTTAAGATGAAATTTCAAGTTTTAACATGGTATCAAAACCCATTAAATTTCAACGAGCAATTTAATCCGATTAAGATTCAAAAAAATGAGCACGCGAATTTTAAAATTGGTCTGCTCAAACGAGCCACCATCTTGCAAAGGCATGTTAAGAGATAAAATCTCACATTGATTCAAAATGATCCTTAACACCTGCTCGCAAGCTGATGGGAAGCGAGATAACCAGTAGCTTGGACCGAAGGTGTAGAAATGGAGGTGCACTATGTCCTTTGGTGAAAACATCTGTCATTTGGTGTTCAGTAGGAATAAATTTAATTAAACTATCCCCATTAACAACTTTGTCATGTACAAAGTGATAATCATTCTCAATGTGCTTTGTACACGCATGAATTATGGGATTCGAGGCCAACACTAAGGCACTAGCATTATCACCCCACAATATTGGAGGAGAAGCAAGGGAAACTTGTAACCCATATAGTAACATTCTTAACCAATATAATTCCGTAGTAGTAACGGCTATTGCCCTATATTCCGCCTTGGTGCTTGAATGAGAAACCACAAGTTGCTTTTTGGCACCCCAAGAGATTAAGCATGAGCCCAAAAAGATACCAAATCCAATTGTTGATTTTCTATCATCAGGATTACTTGCCTAATTCGCATCACAATAGGCAGAGAGATGAATGTTCCCTTTTCTGGTAGAAAAGACCATGGTGAATCGTCCCTTTTAAGTGGCGGAGAACTCTCTTAGCTGCAATCCAGTGAGCTGTGGATGGTGAGGCGAGATGTTGACACAGCTGATTCATAGAGAAGGCAATTTCAGGCCGTGTAATAGTACAATATTGTAGGGCACCGACTACATGTCTGTACAGGATCGGATCAGAAAGAGCTTCACAAACTGATTTGGACAATTGAGTGTTGACAACACATGGAGTCGAGTAGGGCTTGGCACCAATCATTTCAACTCTGGTAAGAACATCAATAATATATTTGGCTTGACACAAATAAAGTCCAGAGGAGTCTCGAGATGCACGAATGCCAAGGAAAATGCAAGAGAACCAAGATCTTTAACTGGGAAGATATTTTGTAATGCTAGAATAACTTCTTGAATCAGATAAGCATGAGTGCCTGTAACAAGAATATCATCCACATAAATAAGGATATAAATGTGTACATTAGAGGGATGATAAATTTATAATGATGATTCCACTTTAGAGCCAAGAAAACTAAGATCTGCAAGAACATTCAATAGTCGAGAAAATCACAACCGTGGTGCTTGCTTAAGACCATAGATTGCCTTGTTCAGAGAGTACACACAATTCGGATAGGTAGGATCCACAAATCCTTGTGGTTGTTCCATAAACACTTTCTCTGCAAGAGTTCCATGAAGAAAAGCATTAGATACATCAAGTTGATGGATAGGCCAATCAAATTGAATAGCTAATCCTAATAGTAATCTGACGGTTGTGGGCTTAATCACAGGACTAAAAGTCTCGTGATAATCTACCCCCACTTTTTTGTTGAAAACCTTTGGCTACAAGTCGAGCCTTAAATCGATCAATGGTGCCATGAGCTTTCCGTTTTATTTTATATACCCATTTGGACTGAGTAATGTTGCAATGAGGTTTCAGGCAAGGAATTTGCTAGAGATGATTGAGGCTGCTGTCAAGATTGATATTTTCCTTAACAAGAATTTGTTCAAACTCTTAGCCTCAATATTGCGATGGTTGAATCAATTCGCCACAATGCATGATCGAAGAGACTGTGAACTAGTAATTAGTGATGCATCTTTAAAATATTATCTATAATAATCATTCCATCCACGCAAAAAAAAAATAATAATAAAAAAATAAAAATAAAAATAAAAATTATGATAGGATTTTTTCAGAGCCTGTTTGGCGTAGAGTTTTTTGAAATATATTTTGAAAATGATTTTTTTTTTCTTTTTTGGGTAGAATATGTGATTAAAAAGTAAGAAAAAAATTAAAGGTCCACTTGGAAGTTATTTTTCCCCCTAAAATATGTGATTAAAAATAAAATTTAAATAAATGTCTATCAAATGGGGACTTTATCTCATATATAGTCTTAATAATAATTTTGTCAAGGACATTACACAAGCTTCTAGGCTTATAGTATTTCCATCGGTGTGCCTCAGCCCTTTTTAGAATTTAACACTATTACTTTGCCTGTTAAAAGAATTGCTTCTGTTTAAATAAAAAGTGTTCAAATACTAAAATCCCTCAAATTTTACAATTTTGTACATACATGATGCTTAAATTCAAAACTAACCGCCTTAAATAAAAATAGACTGATTTCTTTTCTCATCATCATCAATACAGACATTCTTATCTTGTCTTAGCAAGATTGAGTGCTTGTTTAATAAAAATATTTTTGAAAAGTGATTTTAATGTGCGATTAAAAAGTAAGAAAAATATTACTTCTCATGACAACAAGGCAACTAATCATTTCGTCCAGCATCAACTTAGATTGAGTACTATTGCAACACACTCCATCTCTTTGCCAATCACAAGAAATTGCATGCCATGGCATCGTCATTTCACCACTCACAATCGCCTGATATTGAATGTTAATCACTACAACTAAGTTGAATTGCAAAGGCAAATTTGTAATACCTCTCATTCAATATATAATTTGCATCACTTTCTACCAAAGTTCACGTCTTACGTAAATATTTATGTCTTACGCATCGCACTATGAGATTCTTGATATTTGCCCCTTGACAAAGTATATTTTTTAGATGGAAGGCCTAGGATATGGGGTGACAACTTTTCATAATCATTTAATGCCACCTCAATCTAGGACAACGAAGGCATCGATTATTAGATGAGGCCATGTGTCATTCATCCAACGGTAACTACCTCATCTTCTGCTATAAAAACTCACACTTAGTGTCATTTACATATAATCTTAATTTGCACTTTCAACAGTGACTTAAGCTTGCCAGTTTTCTCTCTCCTCGTATCATACGCATACTTGTGGTGGTTCTTGTCCATTGTTTGTCCCATACCTAAGTATATGAGTTGACAAACTTGATCATCAAAGTATCCAAGACCACCTCCCCCATTGTCAAAGAAGGTCAGGTGAGCCCCCTAGGGCACATCCAAGTTGGCGGAACAATCACATTGGGGGGCTCTGGAACCAAGCGTGGGGAGTTCGATTCCTGGTGGGAACCTTTGATCCAATAAAGGAGGAATTATTGGTGGATTAATCACCATGGAGGAGGCTTCCTTTGGGGAAGGAGTAAAAGTCATGTGGGAACCTGGGAACAAATAAGGGCACATCCTGCGATTTACCTCCCTAGGAACCAACAAGGGCACATCCTGCGATTTACCTCCTTGAGCAGTTGAGGGGCCGGAGGTTCAGGGACGAGGATATAGTCTGACGCAAACTGGGACACCTCATTAAAAAAAACAATAACTCATTATTTTAGAAATATTTTATAGTGAGAAGCAAGGACATCATCCATTTTACGCATTATGCAGAGTGATTAAAATAAGGACGAGAGTGGAGTTGGATCTATTGGCCACACTTCTTAGCCGAAAATTGAGGTCAACAGAAAAGTTATGGAAAAATGTGAAAATTGTTTTTTTTTAGTACATGTGATTGAAAATGAGCATCGGAGAGAAGTGTTTCTCAAATAATCAAAATCAAACAATGCATAGAGCCTAAAAAATAGTGCAAATTTGAACGTCAGTTCGAAACAGTAATTGCTAAACATATTAATTTAAATTAGAGGGCACGTATGTGACTCAATACTGTATATATAATGGCAAATTCGGCAACTGTACATATACTCTTGTAACAGTCCCTAGTATCACTTCATATCCTTAAATTTGTAGGGGACTAAGTGTACGAAGGTTGGTGAGGAATTGATGATCTGACCAAAATACGCTTGTGTGGGTTTCTCTACAGTTACATGTCGTGGTCCGTTCTTAGGCAACGTATGCTTCCTTGCATTGAATGAGATTAATTAACTTGTCCTATATTTTAGGTAAGTTTAATGAGCCTGCCAGCTACGAAACAGCTTTCGTTTTGCGACAGTTCAGTCGGGTTAGCTTGACTTTCGATGAAATTTAGCCCTCGTTTGGTCCGATTATCATTCTCATTCTTTTTCTCTTTCTTATTTTCAACCATACAATCTTTCATAAAATAATATTACACGCAAATCAAAAACTTTTCATTCTTTTTTAATCACACATTATTCAAAAAAAAAACACTATTTCAACCATTAAAATGCCAAACATGTTCTTAATTCACCAATCCAAATAGACTAATTGGGCACCCGTCTTTCTATCTGCTCCGTAATTCAGGTTTCGGGATATCTAAGAGTAGCTTAACATACCGACTATTCAGGTATCAAATTGGTTTATTTTGTGTTTGCTTAGTTTTAAAAAGGTAGGAACGTTATGTGCTAATTACCTAATAAGTAAATGAATATTGTCAGCATATGAGAAGGGGACGTTTTAAAGACTAATTTACATAAAGAGATTCAATTCCAATCTCTTATTATAAGATTTTGAATTAGGTAGGGCAGTAGAGTGAAATTTATTGTCTTGAAAACTATAGTTACTTGGACAACTAACATGTATGAAGTGTGCAACTAATTTCTTTAATCTTGTCTCCTTTGGATGTAAATTTTGTTCAGAAAGGCTGGTGACGATGGTGACTGCAGAGTAGTGTTTATTCTTATCCACAGAAGGGGCTATCTCTCTACTATGAATCACATTGGAAGGAATAGATAATTATCAAGTGAAAGAAATAAAAGAAGCATAAAAGTTGTAATTTGAATCGACGTGTAACACTGAATTGGTGCATGGACAAGGGTACCATAATTGTAGTAGATTGAACTCCTTTTACAATACAAAGAATCAAATAGATTTTATTTATCCCTTGAAAAAGTACTCTAGTAGCATATTTTATTAAAGTTTCGAGTGATAGAAATAATTACAGCCAAATTTCGACATTGATGTGGCACATGTACAATTTTATAAGGGTGGTTATATTAATATATCGTTTTTTTTTTGTTTTAAAACATTTTAGTTACATTAAATGTCATTAACCTTTATTCATTATCATATTTATTTTTTTTAATTTTTTCTGTATCACATTCTTATTTTTAACATTTCGATTATTAGAAATTTATCTTAAATCGTGGCCTTCGTCCAAAAATAGCTAACGTACTGTAAAATGATGTCAAATAATTAATCGCATTTTTCCATTATTATATGTTTTGCTTATTTAAAAATAAAATGGACAAATGAATCTTTTTACTCTATCTTAAAAAAAAAATTGAAGAGAAATCATAATCATTAATAAGGAACAATTCATATTAATTTGACAATAAGAATGTGATGTGACAAGTTTGAGACATAAATGAGGTAATATGTAAAGGTTATGAATCTTTTACGCATTTAAAATATAGTGTAATTATTAAAAGATTTTGTATGAATAATGTTATTCGTAGTCGCTCACTGCAGCAGTCGTCCTATGTGACATACACATGGCAAGTGATTATTTGATGCATTAATGTGGTAGTTTTTTTATTCATTAATGCATCAAATAATCACCTGCCATGTGTATGCCACGTAGAACGACTGTCGCAGTGGACGACTGCCGCAGTGAGCGACTGCAAATAGCATTATTCTTTCATAAAAGGGGGAAAGACTTTATATTGTTAAAGTAAACCACTTTAGATAACATTTTTATTAATGGCAGAAATAGAACATAATACAGACAAAGATACTCCATCATAAATAGAATTATAGGAGATATAGAATACAATGAAAGGCTTCAGAACCAGACTTGATATGTTCTAGTCATGCTATTCATTGAACTTTGTTTTTGTTAATCTTCATACACACCTTTCTTGCTCCAAATCATCATGACCAATAACTGTCTAAGAACATTCGAATGAGGAAGAAAAAGATAAGGAGCTAAATAATTCCTAAAATAGAATAATATCATCTTCTTTCCTAGAGCTTTACCACCTCTGGAATATGCACTGGGTACTTGTGAATGCAATCGGCCCAGGGTCCTTCTGGTGGACCATTTATGGTTCGATTGCACTTCCAAACTGCACTGTTACACTTGAATCCACTTCCGAATGCAATCTGCCAGATTCGATCGCCCTTTTTCATTCTTCCTTTGGCCTCAATATAGCTCAATTCATACCACAATGAGGAAGAAGAAGTATTCCCAAACCTATACAGCGTCATTCTTGAGGCCTCCACGTGCTCGGCTGAGAGATTGAGGTTCTTCTGCAGCTCATCAATGACCGCTCGTCCCCCGGCATGGATACAGAAATGCTCAAAGGCCTGCTTGAAGTCTGGAATATATGGCTTCAACTTTAAGTTGAAAACTTTTTTACCAATTAGAGCCAAAAGAAAGAGAAGTTGCTCTGATGCAGGAAGAACAAGAGGGCCAATTGTAGTGATATTAGACTTTAAGGCCTCCCCAGCTATTGCCATGAGATCTATTGACAAATTTATTCCCACGTGACCTTCAGGATCTTCTTCCTGAGAGACACATTTGTAAGCTTTGTCGTCTGCACCCTTGTGGGTTCTCACCACATGGACTAAACGATATTTGGATCGTGAACTTACGGACCACTTGTTTGATAAAAGAAGGGCGGCTCCACCCATTCTGAACAAGCAGTTGGGCAGAAGCATAGCCCTTTCTTTTCCAAGATAGGAATTTGGTGTGAGAATTTCAGTGCTTATAACCACAGCATTTGAGTTGGGATGAACTTGAAGAAGATCCTTGGCTAAATCTACAGATATTAAACCTGCACTACATCCCATTCCTGATAGGTTAAAGCTCTTAATGTTGCTTCTCATTTTGTATTTGTTAATTACCATGGCTGATAAAGATGGAGTTGGAGAAAAGAGGCTGCAATTTACAACCAGTATATCTATATCTTTTGGCTTAATTCCTGTCTTCTGCAAAAGGGAATCCATGCATGAGAAAATAACAAGTTCAGCTTCTTCTTTCGCAAGTTCCATAGTTGTAACTGGTGGGATATAATGTATGGCTGGTGGCAAACAGGTTTCTTCTAATGTGAGTCCAATGAATATGTGGTTAAAAAAAATGTTTGATTCACTTATTAACAAGCAAAACTTTATTGACGCTCAATTAAACGTCTAATTTGACATGTTCTGTATACAGTACTATACGATATATAATTTTCTTTCATTTTTCTTTTATCGATATTGATACTATGTGGTTCAAATAATGAACTAGGAAAATTGGTAGAGAGGATAACTCCCACCATGTCGGACGATCCCCGCTATGTCGGGTAGCGCCTATCATGATATGGCGACTGCTGTTGTGCCAGCTCGGTCGACGCTATGTTCACCTGCTCATAGGGTACAGATAGCTTTTAACATGTCAAGTGACGCTCGTCATATTAGAGTGCTTGTTGCTATGCTAGTCTGACTCCCGCCACGCGCGGACCGACTGCCGTTATCCGGATTACCCGAACATCATTGGAACTAGTCAATTGCCATTATAACGGTTATCATTAAACCTGCTATTCGAGTAGTAGACGGAGGGTAACCGCTGAACAAATCGAAAAATCATCTAAGGAGTGGATAGGTCTCATGAGGACACATGGATGGCAACTGCCCGACGGTTACGTTATGCCAGACTTATGAGGACATGTGGATGGCAACTGCCAGCGATTATGCTATGCCAGAGGCCTATTAATACCCCATGGGCGTGTTAGGTAAAAGGGATCTTTCTTTTCCAGAAAAAAAATTTCTCCTCAGTCAGAAATCATTTATCTAAAAACAATTGCTGATTTTCACATCGAAGGGAAAACGGGAAAGGAAGCCCCAACCTCTTTTTTGCAGGACCATCAGAGGACAAGAGACAACTTTTTCCCTCTCAAGAAGACACGGAGTTGTATCATAACTATTTCATTGGCGCCATCTGTGGAAACTTTCATTGAGCATAAAAGCTATGTCAAGAAAATGAACTAGAAGCGATACGTGTGTGGTTGCTAACAATGGGAGTCAGAGTCTATCGCTAGGGGTCAAGATCCGCAGCCGCAACCTCAATATGGGACACAAAACCAATTTAGCTTTCTGACTCTCTTGCAAAGTCAGACATCGAGAGTAGCCAATCCCTCCCACAATCTACCAGAAGCGCCGCCACAAGACATAAGTGGGCAACTGTCCCAGGCAAACTGTGCAGTTGTCCCACCAGTCATTCAGGAAATGGTTGTTGACCTAGGGTCCCATGAAGTCATATCCGTAGGTCACGCGTCCTATGACAGACTTGGATCGCATGATGGAGGAAATAATGTCCCAGAAGATTGATGACACGTTGTCAAGGATGAAGGACATGCAACGACAGATGGTTTTGGAAGAAGAGCCGTTCGCCCCAGAAATCATGGTAGTGCCTCTACCAAAAGGTGTCAAACAGCCAATGATAAAAGCGTATGATGGAGTCACTAATCCACTTGATCATCTACGCACTTTTGTTGATTTGATGAGATTGTATGCAGCCCCAGATGCAGTGATGTGTTGGTCCTTTCCCTCGATGCAAAGAAGAGAAGTAAGAGATCAAGTAGCCACTCTGGCACCACGATCTATTAGAACATTTAATGAACTCTCCAAAAGCTTTGTAGCATATTTCATGAGTAGCAAGAGGAAGAGAAAGACTGCTATAGGACTAATGCAGGTTGTCCAAGATAAAGAGGAGCCTTTGCAAGATTATTTGGCTAGATTTAGTTGGGCAACATTAGGTATAAAGGATCTTCAGATGTCGGTGATAGTCACTGCATTGATGAATGGGACGCGAAATCTAGCTTTTAATATGTCACTCTCGAAAAATCCCTCGGAGTTAGTGAATGAACTGTTGAAAAAGGGAGACAAATATGTAGACGCTGAGGAAGCAGAAAGGGTCACGAGAAACCTTCGAGAAGGAAGGGAGCCAAAAACTCACAAGCGGAAAGATCGATCGGTCAAACAAAGACGAGAAGAGGTAAAAGCCTTCACCCCTCTAATCGTTCCACGGTCTAAGGTATTGATGGAAATTCGGGTCATAAAAGAGCTCGACTGGCCGAAGCCTATGGCGGCCTCCGCTAACAAGAGAGACAAGAGCAGGTATTGTCACTTCCATAGGGATCATGGGCATGACACGGAGGAATGTATCCACTTGAAGGAAAAGATCGAGTGCCTATTGAAATGGGGGCTTCTGACTAAGTATGTAAAGAATGATCAAGCAAACAGAAAGTTGATGACCGACCACCACCTAGGGTCGGAGTAATAAATGTGATAACTAGAGGGATCGTAGCAGGCGAAGACTCGAATTCAGCTAGGAAGGGCTATGCCCGCACTGTTGGGGTTTGCTCCATCCAAGAGAAGGCCAGGTTTCACCAAAATATCACTTTCAATTAAGAAGATTTGATTGGTGTGGCAATGCGCCACGATGATGCTTTGGTGATTGTCGACGACGGTGGATTTTAACGTAAAAAGGGTATTAGTCGATGGTGGTAGCGCGGCAAACGTCCTCACTTGGGAAGCATTTGTGGGATTGAAAATTTCTCCTAAAAATTTGAAAGTTGTATCCAACCCCCTCCCAGGATTCAGAGGAGCCACTGTTATACAAGAAGGAGTTGTAGAACTTCCAGTGACGTTGGGTACTTATCTAGCAAGCGTGGTGATCCTGGTAAACTTTCTTGTTGTTAAAACTCCCATGGTATACAATGCAATATATGGTCGACCCTTGCTAAATGCCTTCGGTGCAATTCCTTCTACGTATCACCAAGCTCTGAAGTTCCCAACCAGCCGTGGGGTTGGGTATGTGAAAGGCGATCAATAATCTTCAAGAAGGTGCTACGTGGACAGTATACAAGCAATCACCAACGGTTATGATGTTGGATTTTGAACCCCCAAGGGGACAAATCGAGCCCCTTAACATGATAGAAAAAGCTTTGATAGGAGAAGGATGTGAATTCAGCATTGGGGCAAACTTGAGGCCAGAAGAAAGAAAAGAATTAGTGAAGTATTTGTCTGACAATTTGGATGTTTTCTTGTGGAGTCTATATGATATTCCAGGGATCAGCCTATCAATTGCTTAGCACCGCATCGGTATTCCACTTGGAGCGAAGCCAATAAAGTAAAAGAAAAGAAATCTTGCCCCGAAGCGTCAACCTATCGCAAAGATAGAAGTTGAAAAGATGTTGCATGTAGGGTTTGTTAGGGAAGTGCAGTATCCAGAATAGTTGGCAAATGTTGTCCTCGTGAAAAAATCGAATGAAAAATGGCACATGTGCGTAAATTACACTGGTTTGAACAAAGTATGTTCCAAAGACTCATCTTTCAGAAAAATATAAGATCTTGTATATGCATTTACATAATTTTTTTTCCAAGGAAGACTGGGACGGTGAAACCCTTACTCATATAAGATCTTATGTATTATTATCAATAATTGGATATTGGCTATGGTCTAACAAGTTGTATTACTTTTAGAAGCAATTATTATGTGACAATAAGTGAAAAATGTGATTGCCAGTTTAAATTATATTGTTATAAACAGTATTCTAAAAGACGTAATGCGTGGTGATGCGTTGATGCCAAGCTAAGAGAAATGCGAGATTAGGCGAGGCAAATACGTAAAAAAATGTTTCTTATTTTAATATTATTTATAACTTTTAATCAATAAAAAATTATTTAATAATTATAAGTTTTAACTTAAAAGAATCGTTAGAAAAAAAAACCCTAATAATGCCCTCCTTGACGCCTTAGCCTCGCCTCACATCTGTTGATCGTCAAATAAGTGCTTGGCGCCTTAGCCACACATTGGCACCATTGACGCGCTATTTAAAACACTGGTTGTAAACCAACTTCAATTGATTACTAATGTTCTAAACAAATCACTGGATTTAAGGTCCTTATGGTTCGTAACAAGTGAAGCGCATCATTAGGCAAAGTATTGGTAAAGATAACAACAGGTTGAGAAGAGGATGAAATGTAACGAGTAACAAGCGTCCCCATTGCAACCTTCTGGCATGTCTTTTGAACAAGCATGAAACATGGGATTATCAAACATATGAAGGTCACTAATATTGTCACGAAATAGTTGAGGTGGTTTTGAGAGTGACCCACCAATATCTCGCAATAAGAATTGTTAACCAGCAAGAAGAATGCGTTTATTTAATAAGCAAACACTCTCAGGAAAATTAGGATGAATAGGTTGCTCCATTCTCTTTTAGATTCTATACAAGAATGCGTTTTTCACGTCTAGTTGGCGTATACTCCATTTTAGAGAAAGAGAAAGGGAAAACCCATTTGGTGACATTAGGAATTTGAGGTACTAGTTTCCATATTTTACTTTCAAGTTCTTGAGCTCAGTGAGCATATGTTGTGACTCGAACCATGTTATTGGTGCTTCTACATTCTCAGCCACCAAAAACGTGTTATGAAAATGTGCTTTTATAAATGGCATTCCGCCTGATGATGACACCTGGCTTTATTCCCACCGTTGGATGAAGGATTACATGCTTGGTGATATAAATGAGATTGACGATTCGTTTGGCTGTGTGACTTTTCATTCGTCTGACTCTTGAGTGAGGTTCGAGAGTGTTATTCTATTCTCTCTCGAGTTAGGGTTTTCTATTTTCCCTATTTTTTGCAATCGATCATCTCATTCGATATTTTTGTGAGGTTATTAACCACCGAATACTATTCTATTCTTGAGTGATACTTAGAGTCCTCATGTGTTGAGGTTAGGGATGTGGTCTGTTGATTCGTTGTGAGTCTGAGGCAGATAAGTGGTTCCTTCGAAGAGATAAGTCTCTTTCTTGTGTATTCTTGTAGTGGTTGAACTCTGTAACCTTCAATTGCCTATTTTAGGGGCTTTAGTGCAACCGAGCAATATCTGCTTCGATTAGATGCTCAACAGGGGACTAGGTGCTAGTCACTGAACCTCTGGGGCTTCAGCCAAAAAAATCTTGTTGTGTTCTTTATTTTCTGCAAGTTTAATTTCTGTTATTAAGATCGATTGTATCTTGCAACTTATTGTGTGGGTTTTTGGCCCTCTTTCAGTGGTATCAGAGCGTTGAACTGGGGCAAGATACCTGGATCTTTGAAGGAGGGATCGATCTGCTGCAGATCTGAAATTTTTGGAACTGCTTTTAAGCAGTATTGAAGGACCTCGAGTATTTTATACTCGTTGGGTGTGATCTTTTAAATTTGTAAAGTTTACTTTATGAAATTGTGTGTTTCGATTTTCTTCCCTTGATTAACCATACACCATCTACCCACTGGTGTCTGGTCTTTGTCCAAAGACTCCTATGAGGTCTTGGGAATCTGAGAAAATCCCAGTTTGGAGGTGTATCTGGGGAATCTTGAAGGAGGAATTTTTCAGAAACCTAAAATTTCTGCCCTCTATTATTGAGTCCTTGATTTGATCTGCATATTACATATGTGTTTTAAACATGCACGTGTTGTCTTCTTGAACAATACTGTGAATCTGAGTTGACATTGTTGTGTGTCCAGTGTATCCTGTGGTGTGATCTTTTGACTCGAACTTGTACATTTTGGTGACATAAGAAAATGGCTACTGCTAAATTTGAGGTTGCACAATCCGATGGAAAAATTGATTAAAATATGTGGAGTCAAAAGATGAAAGCTATACTAATGCAAATAAGATGTGTTAGGGCTTTAGATGACACTTGGCTTCAAGATATGAACCCTACTAGGAAGGCTGAATTAGAAGAGGTAGCCTGGAGTACTATCTTCTTGTATCTGTCTGAAAATGTTATAAGAACTATTGGTGAAACTAAGATTCTGAACTGTGGACTAAATTAGAAAAATAGTATGTGACAAAAACCATCACAAACAAATGTTATCTGTTAAAACAACTCTTTTCTTTCAAGATGGACCCTTCCACTGATTTGGATAATAACTTGAATAGGTTTACAAAATTGACTCAAGATCCGACCAACTGTGATGAAAAACTTTCACAAGATCAGTTGCCTGTGATCTTGTTGAACTCCATTAGTAATAGATATAAAGATATCAAGGTTGCCTTAGAATATGGTAGGGATGAACTCACTACAGAAATAATAATTAATGCCCTAAAAAATAAGGCCCTTGAAATAAAATTTGAGACCAAAGAAAGTCATAATGGGGATACTTTAATGGCAAAAGGAAAAGGCTTTAGTAAACCTAACTATCACTCAAAAGCTTCATTTGAAAATAAGCAAAAATGGGGTGATAAGGGAAAGTCTAAAAACAAGGCCAAAGGAAAGAAATATTTTTATTGTGGAAAACAAGGTCATTTTATCAAAGACTGTTATAAAAAGAAAAATAAGTCAAAAGAAAAGAAATATGAAGTTGGGGTTGCAGCCTTAGTGTATAACAACGATAAAAATGAAGATGGTTTGGTCCTTGTTAATGGGGACAAGAGACTAAGTGATGAATGAATTCTTGATTCAGGCTGTTCTTTTCATATGTGCCCTAATAAGAATAGTTTTCTTGAAATTGAAAAAACAACTGGTGGGCAAGTTATAATGGGTAACAATATGATATGTAAAGTAAATGGACTAGGTACTATAAAATTGTTACTTGATAATGGGAAGGTCCTATTTCTAAAAGGAACTAGATATGTTCCTGAACTTGAGAGGAATCTAGTGTCTCTAGGAATGTTGGATGATATAGAGTTCAACATAAAATTGAGTCATGGACATATTGAAATTCTTAGGGCAATGATTTAGTCATTAGCACCCCTAAGAGACATGGACTTTATTTTCTTAAAGCTAAACCTTTACTTGGCTTAACTGCTACTGCTTTAACTGAAAATTTTTCTCTTACAAAATTATGGCATGAGAGACTTGGCCACATTGGCAAGAAAAGTCTAAAGGCTTTAGAAAACAAAGGAATTTTTGGTAAACAAAATCTTGGTGATATTGATCATTGTGAATAATGTATGATTGGCAAACAGGTTAAGCTTCCTTTTCTGCCTGGAGCTCATAAAACTAAACAAATTCTCGAGTACTTACATGCTGATTTGTGGGGACCTTTTAAATATTATCTTTTGATCATTGATGTTTTTTCAAGAAAAATCTGGATTTTCTTATTAAAATCCAAAGATGAGACTTTTTCAGTTTCTAGGGACTGGAAAGCACAAATAGAAAATCAAACCGATCACAAGATAAAAATATTAAGAACAGATAATGGTCTGGAGTTTTGTAATCATAAGTTCAATAACTTCTGCAAAGAACATGGTATATTAAGACAACTCACTGTTATCTATACACCTCAACAAAATGGCATAACTGAAAGAATGAACAGAACTTTACTAAATAAAGTTAGATGCATGCTATTAAGTTCTGGTTTACCAAAAATATTTTGGGGTGAAGCTGTAAAAATAGCTGCATACTTAGTTAATAGAACGCCCACTTCTGCCCTAAACTTTGAAGTACCTGAATCAGTATGAACTAAAAATTCTGTTGATTATTTACATTTAAAAACTTTTGGATGTGCTGCTTATGCACACCAAAATATTGGAAAATTAGAACCTAGATCACTTAAATGTGTTTTCTTGGGTTATGGTGAAAATGTGAAAGGGTATAGATTGTGGGTTAAAAGTGAGAAAGGCTATAGGGTGATTGTTAGAAGAGATGTTGTCTTTAATGAATCCTTTATGCCATGCCTAGAAGGAAAACAGAATTTGACTTTCGATGATGTACAAATTGAGGTGGAGCCTCCTAAGATTGAAGGAAAAACCAATGTACCTGTTGTACCAGAAATGATTAATGCAGAAAATGATGCTGCAAATGAAACTGAAAATAATCTGCAAAATAACACTAATGACCA